AGAACATCCATTTTCACGGTAGATCTGATTACGAGTCCCTGTGAAACGTCACCAACAAGTTGGCACGATGAGGCTAAGCTAGCCTGGCACACGATAGTGGGCAGTCGACGAGTCTGCAGCTTAAAAGTTCGACTTGTCCAAAGGCCCTGCAAAAGACCACTTTTACGGAGTTGTTGGACTCATTTCCACTTTCAGTGAGGTATGCCATTGAGAGATTAAACGTTTTGTTCAACCGGAAGACGACGGCAGATTACATTAGAGCAGCTGTAATTCGGTCTTACTGGATCATTCCTGTTAAAGCTGGCTAAGATGGTCTTTTTGGATTTAGTTGAAAACGTGCTAGGCCTGCCTCCGTCACATGAGACACAGAATCAGAGCAGACTGGCATTCTTTCAACCATATTCGTGCGAACAAGTCAAGAAAACTTACCGGTTCATCCCTAAACGTTGTATAAATATATACCCCAGATCTCTACATTTGCATGACGCATACGGAGATTTAGTTAATCCAAGCTATGTGCCAACCTAGAATGCTCCAGTAGAGCATCCCGACAACTAACAAAGAGGAGTTCTGCCATGGCCGGATCGACCTTCGCGTCTCTTCATCGCATGAACCTGCACGCAAGATGAAGATGAGCTCACCAAGTATAGACCACGAGAGTTCTCGAAATCCAACTTTTATTCGCATCCACCGCAGTCGTGAGGAATCTGCACACCAAACACGACATGCTCATGCATTCATGTAAATCTACGCTTGGCAGCAAGCCTACTCTTCCATACCAAGTTGCAATCACCAACACCCGTGCCACTTTCGGCCTGGGAAAGGTCTTGGCAACCACCTTCCTGCGGATGTGGTGACTCTAACCGTCTTCTAATCGTATTCCGATGGCGTGCTCAAATTCCGTATTGGAGTAGGGTTTCGAGACTACCAGTAAATCAGTAATATGAGGTGTATTCACCCAATTTCGTGTAAGTACAATTCTCCCACAATCACATGAGTTGAGCTGACGTTTACTTTCAATTTCACATTTTCTTACTTTCCCAAAAGTTGTTCTCATCCAGGCACCAGTAGACTGCAGTTTCCACCTCGCATCGGTCTTAGCAACACCCTCAACTCATATGATTGTGGGAAAATTCTACTACCAGTCCTTCATCACCTTGTACGAAACAGGGTGAATACATCTCACAGTGCTCAAATTCCGTCAGCGTCAATGCTGCCAATAATCACCCCATTTGGGCACTCTGGAGGCTGGCCACTTCCGCTGAGAGAATCTGTTTAGCAGCGCCTTTGTCCCAGAAACCAGTTCGAATCATGTAAAGTAACGAGAGTCGAAACTTTGAAGAATAGGAAACAGTGCTTGGGGGGCTGGATTTCTGGTGTCAAATCGCTTTTTGGTATCCCCCCTAACGACTAGCAAAAGTGAGCAGAGCCTTGGAGATGCTTTAATTTAATGCCAGCTCCACTTCGAGCTGCACAGGCGTCGAGGCTAAGTCAGCGGAACTTTCGCACATTTTCTGTATGACACCCACACAGCAGGTCGGCATACACGGGAACCAGGTCAAGATGCAAATGGACCCTTTCCTCCTTCAAGCGCCTCTGGAACGTGCGAGCTGAGGCATCCTTTCGGCAAGCAATACATGAGATTGAGAAATGTATACTCCGAAAATCACGTCGAAAGTACAACTCGGCAAAGTTTTCGCTGCAATATCATGCTTTGCGAGCTTCTTTGTTGGGGGAGTGGTCGGATTGCCAGACACAAGATCAAGGAGGATCCAGAAGGCATCCAGAAACTTACTTTCAGAGTCTGCTTGAGGTCCATTTTCGTAGTCTTTATGAGGAGATGCGCTCAATCCGAAACCACGACCGAGGATTGGAGGTAGATTTTGGCCAGAATTGAAGATCACCCGCCACCCCCTCAGTGCAACCCTGTCTCCAACTCCTAGTTGTAGGCGGAATCCCATCCGTTGCAATCAGCAACCTTGAGCTGTTGTGTTGGCAACGAAGGCAACAGGAACACGCAAATGATCGGATCGATGACGGCATGAGGATTAATTGAAGTCCAGAAAGTGAAGTATAGTACAGTCGCATCAGTCTCATTCGACCGCCGAACAACTAATAAGGAACTAGCAACGCCTACTTTTGTTGCAGGTATCAGAATAACTATAAGTATTTGACGTAAATCGCGAAATCTATTGCCGCCAATTCACACCTTTACATGCTATTTTGTGCAAGGTGAATTGACAGTTGTCTCCATCACGAATAACAACGTCAAGCATGCAAGAACTTAGAAAAACATGTCTGTCGAGGAGGCCATAGCGATTCAGACTTCAGGCAATATAGGGCCTTGAAAGACTTTTGAATGTGTCCCGGTGATCTGAAACGTTTTGCTGGGGAGGAGAGGGACAGGACGAGTAGGAATTGAAGAAGTAATTTGGGCAGAAGAAGATTTCGCCTGAATTCGTAATACTTTCTCCTCTTCTACTGTTCTTGAACTTCGAATAACTTCTAGACAGTGCAGCATAAAATGTACTATTTTGACCGGCTCTCCTGCAAACGAACAAATCAGCAACATCTTAGCACCGTTTTTCGGTGTCTGCCTCTTAGCATGCGCTTCTTTTATGATGAGCATGCATAGAGTCCTTGAGTACTCCATCCCACTCATCCGGTCTAGCCACTCTAGTTTTCTGCTCCCTTTCCAGCCGAGTTTGACATAAAAGTTACTCCATAAACTAATGGGATGCTATCCCAGCAAAGAGGAGACTCAATTAAGGTGACATCCTTAAATAAGGACTTTTTCCTTTTTTTTGGTCGTAAGTAGGTTTGCTGGACTACCAGAGGAACATTTATATGAGACGTATTCCGCCTATTTTGTTTGAGGTGACGAAGGACTGGTAGTTGCATTTTGCCACAATTGCTTTTCTAGCATATGCTTGCTCCTCACAAGCGATTCTCATTCTGGTCGGGATGTACGGCAGTTCCACCCTCTCATGAACTAGCTTCATCCGCACCCCCGGCGGGACTCAAGCCCTAGCCTCGACACGTTGACCACCAAGCCAGACTGGCACGAGTGCCCTTGTGCCGCGTGAAATACGCGGATTTCAAGGGAGCCCAGCACATTCTGTGGTGGGAGTGTCGGTGAAGCAAGGTTGTATTTATCATAACAATCGGTCATGCTACTTATTTTCCGTTTATAAGTAGGTAGGAATTCATAAATACGATCTAATGGCAGTCCAGAAAGCCTGGTTATAAACGAAAAAAAAGTAATGCAGTTGATTGCTGTAGCACATAACAATTGCTTCATCGACACTCCCACCGCAGAGTGTGATATGGGGAAAGGTTTGGCCTTGCTCAAAATTCACATCTTTTTTGTCACCCCAGGGTCGGGTTTGAGTCCCGCTGGGTGTGCTGATGGGACCAGTTTGGGAAAGGTCTAAACTGTATTCCACTCCAGCATGAATGACAGTACCTTTTGGGAGGCGAGGGCGTTTGAAATTCACTGGAAGCGTAAGGCCTACTGATATGATCATTGGAAGATTCAACTACCAGTGCTTCGTTACCTTGAACAAAATAGGAGGAATACATTTCACCCTAGTTTTTGTTTAATATTAATTATTGTATACTTATTCTTAAAAATGCGCAGTCGCAGATACAATATAATACTATCCAAATGAAGGCTCTCCATATACATATCATTTTGCTATCCAAATAGTCAGAAAATTTTACCAATCGTCAACTGGCAAGTGTCCTTATCAATTCTCGCCTTTAACATAATCTCATATACCCACCCATTATTAAAATTGTTAAACTTACTCTGCCTAGGAGATAAGATTATTGTTTCATATCTAAAAGTGTCTTACTTGGAGTGGGTCCGGTTCACAGTCAACTAGAAAGCATTTATTGCGAAGCATTGCTGAAGAAAGTTGTCAAGTTATGTCTCGGCAACATAAATCAGGCCATCATCAGAACGACTGACAAATGTGGATACATCTCGCGAAGTTGTAAATTCCTACTTCTATTCTATTCTATCCATTTTTCCTCGATGAGGATACTTTTTTTAATGCCTAAAATTGCAATAAAATCAGGCATATTCGTTGTTCAGCTTTTAGGTCTACCTTAGTGATAAGCGTCCACAGACGTAAAGCTCCTCGATTCCCGATCATTATGTGGCCATTTTACAACAAGTTTAGTCAAAGTTCACGGAACTTGTACTTCCGAAAGTGCGCTTTGTAAACGCATAAAACTGTTTTGACTTAAATCAAGCCTCTGTGAGACTGACTTAGGCATAAAAACCGCTCAAAAGAATGGATAAACTCAATGTTGAGTTGGCTTTTAGGGCTCGTTCACTCAGGCTAATGCTCTCCGGTACACATTCGCGACTGACGCAAGTAATCGACGTTGCACTAAGCCTCTAACAGCAGAAATAAGAAATCCCTTGAGGAAACAAAAGTCTTCTTCTGTCGCTTGACCCTTCACCTCCGCGGTCAACGGAGACCGTCTCTTGCCATTTCTGAGGCTACATTCTGCTTCGACTACACACTAACAAACCTGATACCCAATATCAGACACACATGCTGTCTCATCTCACAAGGAGTGAACTTCACTTCGAAATCCCCGAATTGGTTGCTTGGCGAGTCTGTAAAAAGGGTTGACAGACCTTCACTGATCAGTCCGCATCCAACAATGAAGATGCTAAATAGACCTCGAGGCCGTCTTGCAAATAGTCACGAGAGGAAGGTCAAAGGTTGAAAATCCACCCCAAAAGAGGACTTGGCAAATGCGGGTAGAACAAAGAATGGGTGTTTAGGAGCGGGATTAAGCAAAGAAAAGTTGGATTTCTCCCTTCCATTTCGAGCGGAGGTGTTTGGTGAAGATTTTCGAAGATCGATCCTACCAGAGACAAGAGCGGATTTCTCCCAGCCACCTTTCGATTGTCGACGCCCTTTCAGAAGCAATCTCCTTCTATTCCGGTGAAAATGTGCCAAACTTTATTTCATTATTTCAGACGTGTGTCCGACCTTGCGCAATCGGAGTGATGGTTGTAACTTAAATGTATACACATACAAAGACAGACACATTCACATGCATCGAAGTTGACATATGACCTTAACTGTCCAAATCAGTTTATACATGATCAAAGAGGCAAGATGTAGAGTATATATACCAATTTTTAGGGATTTGCAGGTGAGTTTTCTTGACTCGTTAGCTTCAATTTTGTTGTGAAAACGTTACCTCGCTCTGATGATGTGACGGACGAAAGCTTAGCACCTTTTCACCGGAATCGAAGAAGATTGCCTCAGCAACAGCGTCAGCCTGACTGTTCCAGTAAAGCCAATCGACTACTAGTCAAGAGGAATCCGCCGTCGTCTTTTGGTGCAACCGACGTTCGAATCTGTTCACCCAACACTTCCACTCGAACTGGAAGTAAGCTCAACAATTCTAAAAATACTCACACTTGAAAAAGTGAATTTCTTCAGTAGTAATCAGGACTTCTCTTCCGTCCAACTTGGGGAGATCAACTATCTCTGCTTGAAACGCTATCAAGACAACGGTGCTGATTTTATCTTGAAACGATACCGACGGTTCGTATCGGGCCCTCCAGCTTGAAGTGATAAATGTGGAATCGAAGGAGATTGCCTCGGCAACAGCGTCAGCATGAATCTTCCAGTATCGTCTAAAAGCCAAACGGCTGCAGTACGACGCGAATCATCCGTCCTCATCTGGTCAGATCGGCCAACGAATCTCTTCTTCTTCATTCACTTTCATACGAAATGAAAGTGCCCCTAACATTGTTATCTTGCGGGATTCATCGAACCCAGTCACTACTCGTATCTACAAGTCACTTGATACCTTAGCAAAAGGAACAGATTTGAGGAACATATATACAGCTTTTAGGCTCACTAGCCTGAATATAGAGTTGAAGAAATGCTACTCTGCTTTAAGTATGTGCGTTATAGGACGAAATAACTTTGCGAAGAAAAGTTGGGTTTCGAGGAATCTCTTGTTTCGTAATTGTTAAGCCTACTTACATTTCGAGTGGAGGTGTTGGATGAAGAGATTCGTGGATCGGTTCCACCAGAAGACGATGGCGGATTCCTCTTGGCCAGCTGTCGATTAGCTCTACTGGAACATTCATGCTGACGCTGTTGCCGAGGCAATCTCACTCGATTCCGGTGAAAAGGTGCTAAGCTTTCGTCCGTCATGTGACGAACATCATCATAACAATGAGGGTATCACCGTCACAACCAAATTCAGGCTAACGAGTCAAGAAAACTCACCAGCAAATCCCTAAAAAGTGGTATATCTACTCTACATCTGGCCTCTTTGATCAAATATAAAACGATTCCCTAAGTCTGGCCTTGAGACTCTCTGTGGAATCCTTTACTAAATGTCTGTACGGACAATGAGTTCTAGGACGAGGAGTTGGACAAACTGACACGGATTTGTTGAGCTTACTTCCATTTCG